TTATTTATTTATTTATTTATTTATTTATTTATTAGACTTATATCCGGCTCCATAGGTCTTTCAGCCCTCTCTAAGCGGTTTACAGATTTTTTTAGCAAATTGAGTCAGCAAATTGCCCCCACAGTCTGGGTCATTTCACCCACCTCGGAAGAATGGCAGGCTGAGTCAACCTTGAGCCGGTGAGATTTGAACCGCTGAACTGCAGATAACAGTCAGCTGAAGTGGCCTGCAGTACTGCACCCTAACCACTGCGCCACCTCGGCTCCTACAATTTATTTATGACGGTTGCAGTGTCCCGGAGTCATGAGACCTTCAAAGTTTCAATGGGGAAGTCAGTTTCATTTAAAAACTGCATTAGTAACTTAAGAACTGCAATGATTCCCTTAACAACTGTGGCAAGAAAGGTCGGGAAATGGGGCAAAAACTCACTTAACAACTGTCTTGCTTAGCAATGGAAATTCCAGGCTCAATTGTAAGTCAAGGAATTCAGAGTTGAATCTCACATGTTGGTGACGTACCGTAAGTTGGTCAGAAAAGGTAACAACCGGAGGCACACTTTGGGCTGCTGTGATAGTAACAGTGAACATCTGGCTATTGAGCTGGTTGTTGTCCGCATCGAACACGGAGAAGTAGAAGACGTCTGTGATTGGCTGATCGAAAACCGTTTCAAGCTCGGTGAAATATCTGCAGGATTTAAAAAATGGAAGAGGTTGAGCTGGGAGGGGGGGCGGTAGGTAGGCAGGGACGCCAAAATCTGCAATCGACAAACAATTTAATCTCCTCTAATTGTGTCTTGTTTGCCTGGGGGAATAAACCTACCTGCTTGCATTTTCATGTTACTGGGAGAGATGTTAACAGCTAGGGGGGAAAAATAGTTAACAAGGGAGACTACATTTTATTTCTAACTTTTTAATCAATCCGGTGCCCTTTCAATCTGCCAGATGGAAGCTGTTGACAGCACAGGATGGGGAATGTTTAATAACAACACAACTAGGAGGCAGGGAGCCACGTGGAAAAAACTGATTCATGCATTGACATGAAATTAAAAGTCGGGGCGAGATGAAAGAAATGTCACTGGGATGGATCCAAACCGTGAAGCAGAGATGTGCGGGAAATGGGGAAAATGTTTCCTTCTGGGCTTAAAACGAAGCCCTAATGGAGAATCTCAAAAGTATATTCAACTGTTTCATGTATTAACCGCAGCTAGAATTGTAATTTACACAACATTGGAAAAGTATAGAGATCCCTATTGATGAGAAGGTAATACGGAAAATATTAGAATGTGCAGAAATGAACAGAGTAATATTAGCAATGAAGGAGAAAGAGCAAACTGAATATTATATGATTTGGGAAGTATTTTACAAATGGTTGGAGGCGGTGGTGGGATTCAAGTAATTTAACAACCGGTTCTCTGCCCTGATGACCAGCTGGGTAGGTGTGGCTCAGTAGTCGTGTGACCATGTGGGCGTGGCCATCCCAATGTCACTCTGGTCGATAGGCGCTTCGCCTTAGCTGTTACAATGTAATGAGGGTTAACCGGAGAGGCAGTTTCTGTAAGCAGGGCAATAAAGATTAGGCTAGAAACAACACCAGAATGCTTCCTTCCTGCCTTCTTTACAGGATGAGCCCTGTAAAGTGGAAAACAAAGTAAGATTTCTTCCAACAACCGGTTCTCCAAACTGCTTAGAAAGTTAACAACCGGTTCTCCTGAATAGGTGCGAGCTGGCTGAATCCCACCACTGGTTGGAGGAGAAAAAAGGAGTTTGGAAATGAAAAAAGCTAAAAAATAAGTAGAAATACACTTAGATAGAGATATAAATAAGATGAAAACTGTTAGTATGTGTATGATGAGAATAATGATGTTTAATGTTGATGCGATATTATTACTAGAAGATATTAAGAAGAAAAATTGAGAGTTCCATAATGTTTAAATTGCTCAATATATATTGTAATACTAAACTTAGGGAAATGAAGTTAAAATAAACGT